AAAGGGCTTCCATGGTATAATCCCTATGTACGCACGGCCATTATTCATCCCATGACGTGTGCAGTTACAATTCGGTTAAGTTCCCGATAAGTTTAACAGCAGGGTTTCAAAAGTTTCAAGATTATTTCGGCTGCGCCTCGAGCATCTCTTTCGCTTCTCTCGTGCTCTCCGAGCTTCCCGCGTGCACGTGCATCATCATTTATTTCCTCGTAGCGCTTAATTCCAGTTCCCGTCTAATATCAGTTGATATTCGGAAGTAGACACCTTCGATTCAGTCTGACAATTATGAGGATACTCTTTACCATATTATTCTCATATGTACCTTTTTTTAAACCTCCAAACCTTGTTTAAGTTGACCTCGTTTTCTAGAACTGAGTTATCAGTTCTCCATTTCTTTCTCTTCTTTTTTTTTCTATTTTATTTTGATATTTCCTCTTTTATTGTTGAACCAACTATCATCTAGTTATGCATAGAGGTGAAGCTAGGGCTGTTCTTGTTCTATTATTCAAACCAGAAGAGGACACCTGGATCAACTACCGTAGTAAAATATACTCAGATTTCGCGCGGGTCCATAACGCGTCTTGGCGACTGTCAGTTGTGTGATAACTAGTAAAAACGGTGGAAGGAAGAGTAAATAGCGTGCGATGTTTGCAAAATTTATGTTTATTTGGCTTTTAAACTTCATTAGAATTTCCCAGCTTCTAATTACTGATACGTTTTTTATAATAGGAAACGCAATCCACTTTTTCTACAAATGCAAAGGAAGTAAAAACGGAGGAAGGAAGAGTAAATAGCGCGTGATGTTTGCAAATTTATGTTTATTTGGCTTTTAAACTTCATTAGAATTTGCAGCTTCTAATTACTGATACGTTTTTTTCATAGGAAACGCAATCCACTTTATTCTACAAATGCAAAGGAGCTCCGATGCCCTATTTTTAAGGTTTTCTCTGTTTCATTTTCTTGTTTTCATTAGAAGTAGACATCTTCGAATTATTCAAAGGAGAAGAGAACACCTGGATCAATTAGCGTGGTCAAATATACTCAAAATTCGTGCAGGTCCATAACACTTCTACGCAACTGTCAGTTGTTTAATAACTGGTGAAAACGGAGGAAGCAAGAGTAAATAGTGGGTGATGTTTGCCAAATTGATGTTTATTTGGCTTTTCAATTTCATTAGAATTTGCAGTTACTAATTACTGAAAAGTTTTTTCATAGGAAACGCAATCCACCTTCGTCTACAAATATTGCAAGGAGTTCCGATGCCCCATTTTCAACTTTTTTTTATTCGTTTGCTCTCTCTTTTTCGCTTTAAACCGCAAGGCTTCTTCTTCCCTGGTTTTCATACTCACTATATATTTCTCTTTCTATGATCTACAACTTTTCATTTTAGTCAAGAGCTTAATTTCAAGTAACCGGTTGGCCCCAGCGACGTCTTATCTCTAAATTTTGGGCGTTGTAGCAGGGCAAAAAAAATATTTTTATCTATCGGATTTCTTATCTGATTCTTACTTTGGGTGCATTAGTTAATATATGGACGAAGTTGGAATGAAGAACCAAGGAAGCAAAAAGACTTGCGGTTTATAGCGAGAAAGGAAGAGTAGAAAGAAAACAAGAAGCAGAGAAAAGAAACATAGGTATCGGAACTCCCTCTGATTCGTAGCCTTATAGGTAGCTTGCATGTCATTTGAGAGAAGACTGTTCAGTAATTAGTGTAGAAAACTCGAATAAAATTGAAAGCAACATTCGATGTTGCTGAATGAACATGGCTTTGGCAAACGTCATGTGATATTTACCCTTCCTTCCCCCGTTGAAACCCTATATCACCTGTGCCGTACTAGTTGTCGAGGCGTGATATGGACCTGGACGAAATTTGACTATCAAACGAGGCATGTGAGACAAGTTGGGGGTGGAAAGTAAAATGATGGTGACAAAGAATCAATAAAACATGGTAAAGGGTGTCGCCTAAACTGTCCGACTTAATCAAACCCGTCAGTTGCTGATATTAACTGAAATAAAGCGGAAAGACGAAAATTAAGTGCTACACGAGAATAAATTATCTTCCGCGTGCCTCATGGAATAAATCACTTAACTTACGATTTTATGGAAGCACACTAGAAAGGTCAGTTAATCAAAAGAAGCTAAAATTTCTGCAATTACTAAATGTTGCTTTAACGCGGGTTGAATTGCACCGAAACAAGATTGTGCGGCGTTTCCTTTAATGTTCCACAATTAGATTTTCTATTTTTTTCCTGTCACCTGCTCTTGTTCTATTTTAAGGAAAATTCCTTTTTGTGAGGAACTTTATTTTCGACTTCAATAGTAATTACTGCTGTCGGCTTGCCCATAAATATTGGTATTTATTTGTCATTTATTTATATTCATTTAAATGAATTAATTTAAAAAAGGAACGACTTCTCAAATAAATAGGACCCATCCTTTAATCTTTCAAAACGAAACTCAGTGCTCCTGTTACAAAAAGTGTAGCTCTCTCGTGGATTGACGATAGTCAAAACCAATTATGACTATGAACACAACCGTTAATATTTTCTCTAAAAACAGCTCATATACAACCGGCCATTCAGCTTCTAATAACTCATACCAAGTTTGTGAGATGACGTCCGACTCCGCTGCAGAAATAATAGCAAAAGCTGTGGCTTATATTTTCATTTTCCTAGTCTCGTTTTTCGGAAATATCTTTATTCTTATGGTCATTTACAAGAACAAGCAGTTACGAAGATCCATCAACTACTTTGTTTTCAACATGGCTGTATCTGACCTCTTCAACCCTTTGACCGTCATGACTGTGAGGATCGTTGAGATTATTTCAGGCTCGGAATCCTGGAAAGTTGACCGTCCGTGGCTGCTAGCAAATATTCTATGCAAATTTGCTTACTTTCTCCCAGATGTTTCTTTAGTGGTTTCCATCGGAAGCCTTCTTTTGATCTCAATAGACAGGCTCATCGCTGTCGTCTTTCCACTGAAGGCCAAACTTATCTCCTCAAAAGTACGATTGATCAGCATTCTAAGCACGTGGTTTGTCGCCATCGCCGTCCATGCACCTTATTTCTACAGCTTCAAACTGATCTCCTACGAAAATGAAACGTATTGTATCATGAATTGGGAACCGGCATTCGACCACAAGAAAACACACGAGGGATTTTTTACGGCATCGTTTATAACTTTCTTCCTCATTCCCGTTGCTTTCCTGGTTATTGTTTATGGTATTATCGCATGGACAATAAGAAAAAAGAACAAGAAAAGTAAAGAGCGGTTGTCTTGTCGCCAAAACCATCGAGATCAGCAGCTAAGGGAAATTGTCAGATTGGCAATGGCCATTATTATTTCCTTTGTTTCCTGCATGACTCCACTGCTTATCTATTTATTTCTTCTAATTTTTCTATGGAATTGGGAATCGCCACCCATTTGTGCATTTCAAACAATTATCCGATTTATTTATTTCTTTATGCTGCATTCGTGGAGTGCAGTTAATCCCTGCATTTGTTTTATCTTTAGCAAGGACTATCGCAATGGCCTTAGGCAATGTTTTCATTGTGACGGTCTCAGTCGAAGGTTATGAAGTTTGCAAGAAAACTATCGAATGCGAACGATGACGAGCTCGATCCTACGGAGACAGCTCTCTTCAGATCCATTCAAGTAGCGTACACATTATCTCGTACAGTAGAAACGCTTGAGCTTGCTATTTACTAAAATCCTAACTAAGAAAAGCAGAAGTAATATTATTGGGTATGCACCTCGAACCCTTAAAGTTTGACTCAGACAGTTTGCAACGTTATGTGATAACTGATAATTAAAGCGATGACGACCCCCAACCGGTAGAATATCATAAACAATGCACGTCGAACTTAGAAGTTTAGCACAGATGTCTAGCAATGTTAAGTTAATTTTGAGAGGAACACCGAGGATGGAATTAGTGCCACACGCTTAACCACAAGAACCAAAGGGATGATAGACTCATATCACGATAAATCCGTTCTCTACGTCAGATGGTCGATTTAATCGTGCAGATTATAGCGGCAGAGATACTATTGAGCCACTTATTCCACTCGCATTTTTCTCATACCGAAAATTTGGCTTCCTTTGAACTGAACGTTTTAGCTTGCTCTCATAAAAATCAATGGTTATTTGACTCATTCCACGAGAGTCGCGGAAGAAAATTTCTCAAAATATAGCGCGCGCGCAAATCCTATCTAATTCTTTAGGAGTTATGGAGTTACACTTCGACTGAAAGTTCCCGTTGAGTTTAACTGCGAGGTTTCAAGACTTTCATGTTTAATTTGGCTGTGCCTCGAGCAACTCCTTCGTTTCCCTCGTGCTCCCCAAACTTCCCGCGTGCATCTACAACTCGATATACGTACGCTAAGCGGGGATCAATTCTTTATTTCCTCGTAGCGCTTAATTGCAGTCTTTTTGGCGAACGCCAGTTGATATCAGAAGTAGACATCTTCGATTTAGTCTGACGATTATGAGGATACTTTTTACCATATTATTCTCATATATACTTTTTTTTTTTGGCCTCCAACTTGTCTAATTTGACCTCGGTCCCTAAAACTGAATTATGAGTTCCCCAATTCCAGTTCCCCAATTCTTGCTTCTTCATTTTGTCTATTTTATTTTCATATTTGCTCTTTTACTGTGGAACCAACTATCATCTTGTTATGCATGGAGGTGAAGCTGGGGATTTTCTTGTTCAATTATTTAAACGAGAGGAGGACACCTGGATCAATTAGCGTGGTCAAATATATTCAAAATTCGTGCAGGTCCATAACACTTCTACGCAACTGTCAGGTGTCTAGTAAATGGTAAAAACGGAGGATGCAAGAGTAAATAGCGCGTGATGTTTGCCAAATTGATGTTTATATAGCTTTTCAATTTCATAAGAATTTGAAGCTACTCATTACTGATAAGTTTTTTCATAGGAAACGCAAGCCACTTTAGTCTACAAATGCAACAAAGAGTTCCGATGCCCCATTTTCAACTTTTTTTGTTTGTTTGCTATCTGTTTTTAGCTATAAACCGCAAGGCTTCTTCCTTCCCTGGTTTTCATACCAACTATATATTTTCCTTTCTATAATCTACAACTTTTCACTTTAGTCATGGGCATAATTTCAGGTAACCGGTTGGCCCCAGCAACGTCTTATCTCTATGATTATGAGTGTTTGTAGCAGGACAAAAAATATATTTATAATCGAGCGGAGTTCTTGTCTGATTCTTACTTTGGGTACATTAGTAAGTATATACACGACGATGCATTGCATTTATCATCATGCTTTTCGATCCTTTTTATCTCGCTCCTGCAATTTTCCTTGGAACGTGAAAGACGTAAATTAAGAGGATATATTAGCTCGTGTTTTCAATAAAACATATTACGGCCATATCACGACTTTTAATAATAAAATATAGCCAGATTAAAACATGACGTTTCGACATTATCAAATGTAAAATTATTGTAAGTTCAGTGACGTTATATAAAGAAAAAAAAGTGTGAAACTAAATTAGAATAAAAGTAAAACAAAAGAATGTACTTAATTAAACGAACAGTTTCGCTGTTTTCTCTTTTATTGGGGCTACATCGCGACTCCAAGATCACTGCAAACTGGGCACGTCGCGAGCGCGGCGATAAGTGGCCTTTAAAACGTCCAATGATGCAGTGAAAGGCCCTCTTATCACTAAGAGATGAATCAAACAACAAGAATCATGCCATCTTTGTAGAGAAATATATTTTTTGATTGATTCAGAGGCATTTTACAAGCGTTAAGAAGGTGTCTCTGTTAGAGCGGTCCGGTCGATTTTGCTAGAGACACGGATTTCGCTTATTTCCTGTGTGTTGTAAGACATTCACAGACCTATACTTAAACCACAATCCGTTTGATCGGATATCTTTGTTTTTCAGAGTTTTACGGAAATTAAATTTCACTCGAGCGAAGGCCTGTCGTGACACTTTTCAAGACTTTAATTTAAGACAACTTTGGAGGCCAATTTACAAAAAATTACGGAACTCATCAAAAGGCTAATACCCCAACCAGGTATATTAACTCTATCTTATCTATCGCGGCGACTTTCGTGAACACCACGTCTCAATCAAGCAAACAGGAAGACTTGAATGACACCTTATCGTTTCGCTTAAGTCACACACGCGAAAACCGATCAAATTCAAGGTAAATTTTTGAAAAGTGAGGCGTTCTTAACTGATCCAACTAACATTAGGAGGAGGAGGAGCTTATTTAGCCGGCTTTTTGCATGTATTTGTATATAAAATGTAGTAAGCGTGGTACGCCAAAAAATCTGTTTACTTATAAAACTCTTTGTCGTTTTCCTATGAAACAAAAATGTACAGGAAAATTGAAAATGAAAAGAATAGGGTTTAGTGATAAAAGGTCAGATTGAATCAAGGAATGAGCTGAAACTAACATAGTTCACTTGACAACTGTATGTCGGGCTTATAAGTGGAAAACGCTAAAAATTGTACATTGCTAGTTTTATTAACACATATGTAAATGACATTGGTTACTGTTACGGAAAATCATATTTTAGAGTCAGCTTTGTATAAAGCAATGATTTTGCATACATTCTTGGGAACAGCAAAAATGACTTAGAACAAACATTCTAAGTATAGTGTTCATTCTGTGCAATGGGGCATAAATGAAATGTTCTGGTAGAAAAGACACCTTATTTTATACCACTGATGACAAGCAAAAAGGTACCCCGGTTAAATATACATTGATAACTATCAATAATACCAGTTCTAATTTAAAGGAGAAAACCCCAAGCAATAAAAGAACAGTTGTCCGTACCACGAAGCACTTCAATGTTTTTTTTTTCTGTAGTTACCTTTTCTATGGCACCTACTTCCTAGCTATGTTAGTTGGATCAGTTAAGAACGCCTCACTTTTTCAAAAATTTACCTTGAATTCGATCGGTTTTCGCATGTGTGACTTAAGTGAACCGTTAAGGTGTCATTCAAGTCTTCCTGTATGCTTGATTGAGACGTGAAGTTCACGAAAGTCGCCACGATAAATAAGATAGAGATAATATACATTGCTGGGGTATTTGTTTTTTTTCTGAGGTCCCTAGTTTTTTGTAAATTGGCCTCCAAAGTTTTCTTAAATTAAAGTCTTGAAAAGTGTCACGACAGGCCTTCGCTCGAGTGAAATTTAATTCCCGTAAAACTCTGAAAAATAAAGAGATCCGATCAAACAGATTGTGGTTTTAGTATAGGTACATGAATGTCTTTAATCACACAAGAAACGAGCGAAATCCGTGTCACAAGCAAAATCGACCGGACCACTTTCACAGAGACACTCTTTTAATATTGAAACGTTGCAGTAAGTTTTTATGAATGACACATTTCTCCTCACCCTTATATGCAAAAGAACTCTTCTGCATTACTTTGCGTTTACCAACACCAGCTACATCTACTGTTATATAAAACCGGATGCTCGATAAACAGCCTACGCATAGCGACCTCATTAAATTATGGCAAACTTTGAAGCTGTTTTCCTGTTTCACCATGAAGCTGTCGACTCCCTCCGTGCTTTTTGCTACCACAGAGTTTTGGTTTAGTCTTTTAAAGCTGCCCTAAAAACATTTTATTTTGGAAGTTTTTTCTTTAAACTAAGATAGTTGTTTAATATGTTTTTACTTATGTTGTGTTTTTCTTATTTTGTGTTGAACATTGATTGTAGGTGTCATGTAAGCAGATTGAACACGACTTGTACATCTTTTGATTTTCAGTTGTTTGATAGTACAAACTATCCAGCTCTTACATCTGCAACATATTTAGGCCTGAGGGAAAAAATATATCAAAATGAATTTGAATCAAACCTTCAACAAACTATTGGAAACACACCGCTTCCTTGATGGATAGATGGAGGATAATTCGGTTGAGTGGACACTTACAATTCAATCATAGGACACGAAGTCAAAGAAGACAAAAAAGACAAGTTGGGAGTTGGAAAGAATACGATGGTGACAAATAAAGGTTTAAGAGTTTCGCCTGAACTGTCGAAAAGAATGAAAGCTGTCAGCTGCTCTAATTATTTAACATTAGAAGGAAAAACAGGAACTAAGAACTACAAGCAAATAGTAGTTCTTCCGCGAACCCCATCAAATAAGTCAATGAAATTAATGAAACCCTCTGGAAGAGCCAGTTAAAAAGAGACCAAAATCTCAGAATTAGTATATGTTGCTTAGACTCGGCTTGGATTGCGCCGAAACGTTGTTGTGCGTAACAAAAGACATTTATTTATTCATTCATTTGGAAATGTTTTACATTTAAAGCTATAATGATATGACGACGCTTTTTTACTGATACAAATGATTCTCAGATCATCCCCCGTTATTAAAAATTACCTAAAAATGCGAGAAGAATAAGTGACTCTCAGTTGTAGCTCCCCGCTAAAATCTGCACGATTCAATCGATTGAATCTCACGATGTTGCAATGATGCTAAACGTGGTTGTGCGTAACAAAAGAATCCATTTATTCATTTATTTGGAAAGGGTTTAAATTTAACGCTATAATGATATGACGACGCTTTTTTACTGATACAAATGATTCT